AAATTGACCAAGCGCCCGAGACGCATTTCCGGTAATTTTTCTTGGACGGCCGTTTCCTCCAGCATGCTTCACGATACGATTTTTTTTTGATATTATCATAAATAGTGGATAGTGGAATGTTTGTTAGCTTATGAAGTTCTTTCGAATACCGTTATTCCATAAATCTAATAAAAGTTTCATTAGACGTTTTTTTATTTGAAAATGACATATGGTGGGAAATTTTTGATGGAAAAAAAAGGTGCCGATAAACAAAAAGGTTGTCAAACGTAGCTGTAAACGTGATTTTATTTAGTGATATGGAAGATCATCTTTGTCACGTTTCAATTTCCGATTTTTTTTTGTCCCACACTGTATATACTGTAAATTTATTTTGTAACTTGTGAGTGAAGAGATGTGTCAATAAATCTATTATTATAAATGATCAATTCCATTCCCCAATTTGTCTCACAAATTACAAATCATTATAAATACAATCGTTACGAATAACGACAACAACAACAACAGCAAAGAAAAAACAACTCGAAAAAAACCAAATAGTATAGAATAAATAAATAAATAAATCTAATTGGATCAAAAATAGATCACGTCTTTTTACACTAAATTGGTTTGTTCGATAAAAATGGTAATTAAATAGAATTTAATAATAAAAGCTCTTTATAATAATTATTTGTAAAATTAAATTATTATTATTATTATTATTATTGGCAAATTATGTAAATTATTATTTGTTTTATTTAAATTATTTAAATTATTTTTGTATTAATAGATTAAAATAAACTAATAGGATTCCTCTAATTGTAACTTTATTTAATAATAAAAACGCAAATATTACGAATTTTGAATTTCCAAAGTAAATTTATGTCTAAGTATTTTTTTTAGAAAATTGCTAAAGCTTAACAGTGGTGATTGTCACCATTAAATTTACGTGGGCAAAGTGTTGATCAGGGAATTATGTAATTTTGCCTTTATCAGATGTAATAATATTTCTTTTGTGTGGAGGAGATCATTTGACCTACTTTTTTTGTCCGTGGTACTAAAATTTAATTTGAAATAATATTAATTCTAAATAAAAATAATCTAAAACATTTAAGAAAAAAATGACGCCCATTCGAAGAATGCAATTAATTTAAGAACAGATACTATCAATAAAAAGTAAGATTCATAGATATTACACTACACTTTTATTTAATCAAATTAATCAAACCGATTAATCGCGATCAATCGATTAAATAAATCGATTAATCGCGATTAATCGAAGAATCAAATAAATCAATTATTTATATTAAAAAAATCAATTATTTATATTAAATAAATCGATTAATCGCGATTAATCGAAGAATCACAAATATTAGAGAAAACATGTCATGTAAACATTACATTGTGTATTTAAGTATAAATATCGAGTTGTTTTGCTCGCTCCAGATACCAAGAGAATATCTTTTACATACAAATTAATTTATTCATTATAATTTATTAATAAAATCTAAAAAAAAAAATTCTTATTTAATTATGTCATCTATTAAAAATAATAACAAAAATATTAAAAAAAATTCTTATTTAATTATGTCATCTGTTAAAAATAATAACAAAAATATTTTAAACGCACAATTTCCATTTCCTATTAACGACCAAAACACTTTAATAAAAATTCCATTTCCACCATCTATCAGAGAAGATGAGATTGTACAATTACATTTAGACAATGGAATTAAGAGCGTTAATCAAACTATGAACGCGTATATGATTTATCGAAAAGAATTTAATAATATAATTAAAAATTATAATCTTGAACTTAAACATATATCTAAATATTCTAGTATTTCTTGGAAACAAGAACCACAATACGTGAAAAAATATTACAAGCAGTTATCTAAAAAGGTTAAAGAACTTTTTAAAGAAAAGGTCTCTTCTCTTTGTTTCATCCACAGTAAGCAAGTACCTAGTACAAATGATAACAGTGTCTCTTTAGACACCTTTAATTCTCCATTTCCCAATATGAATCAAAACTTTCCTTCAACTCTTGACGATCAAAACTTCACATATGCTAACTACTCTAATTATTCAATTCCTAATATGAATCCTCTTGTATCTGATAATTTTGAAAATTCTCATCATGCATATATGACTATGAATGATGATGAACTTATGAATTATATTTCCGAAGATTTAGCCTTAACCTATAGAGCAATCATTCAATCATTACCGTGATTTGCATTAATGAATATATGCCATGCTTTTATATAATACCCAATATCGGATTTTATTTAAATAATGATATATTTTTGTTTTCTTTTACTTTCTTAAAAGATTTATATGACAACAATTTATAGATGATTTAGTTACATATAGAAAAATAAATATTTTCTTATTTACAAAAATTTTTTTTTTGGTATTTCTGAAGATTTTACAAAACTATCTTGAAAAACATTGAAAAATCAGTTTTTTTCTCATTTAAATATTTTTGATACTTCTAGAACTTTATATCATATTTTTTTTAGTATTTTAGTAAAAGTAAACTGACTTTGAGTGATTAAGTAAAGTTATCCAGCAAGTCTGAAATTATTTAAATATTAATTTTCGCAAAGCTAGTTTACAAACACATTGAAAAACAAGCATTTTTCTCAACATATGTACTCACAAATTTTTAGTAGTAATAAATAATATTAAAAAATAAAAATTGGTTTATTTAAAATAAGTTTTTTCAAAGTTTTAAAAATTACTTATATAGATAATATATTATTTCATTGGTTTTATTTTTACAAATTCTATATTCGAAATAGATAAAAATATAAAAAACTATTGATTTTTTTTTTATGATTATAATCCCATCCATTCCAATTTATTAGTACATAAAAATTTTATTGGTTGGTTTCATGGCATTGTAAATGGTTACCTTTTTAATTAAAAAAAAATATTTAAGCGGAGTTATTAAAGTATATAAAGTCTGCGATTAAATAGGATTGATGATATAAAAAGTTTCAATATAAAAGTATATAATAAAAGAAATAGTTAAGTTAATTAAAATAGATTATTTCACAATTCCCTTTCCTTTTATTTCCATCCGTTTTTTCTTCCTTTGTTGCCAATTTCAACTTTTACAATGGCTTCGATTTTCATTAATTTCCTAAAGAAACAAAAAAATGAGTTAATTAAACAAGAAAAAATATGTCTAAACAAGAAATTGAACTCTCCACTTGAAAATTCAAGTTCTGATGAAGGATTAGAAGAAGCATATATATATTAAAATATTTCTTTTAAAAAAATAAATAAGTAATTACATTATATTCTAAAAGATAATACCTAAAATATCCAATCTAAGCTAAAACTGGAAAAAGGTCAAAATATAATTAACTCAATAGTGACAAACTGATTTTAAAGATGAAAATGTAAAAAGATACATTTTAATATTACACAGTTTATGTTGCTAAATTTTAAATAATAAAATAATAATAAAAATAATAAAAAAAAAATAATAAAAAATAATAAAAATAATAAAAATAATAAATTTTTATTCCATTATAATTACTAAAAATTCGGGATTACATATGTTGAGAAAAATGTTTGTTTCTCAATATATTTGTAAACCAGCATCGTAAAATTGATATTTAAATTCTCGACTTCTGAATAACTTTATCTAATAACTCAAAGTCAGTTTACTTTTACTAAAGGCTAAAAATTATTACAACGTTCTAGAAGTATCACAAAATATTTAAATGAGAAAAAAAAGCCTATTTTTCAATTTTTTTGCAAGATATCTGAATAGTTTCGTACCTGTTACTTTAAAACAGTTCAAAATACTGAAAATACGAAAAAAATACCAAAAAATTTGTAAATAAGAAAAAAATATCTATTTTTCAATATATTTGTAAGCTAGTTTTGGAAAATTAATATCTACTATAACTAAAATATTGTAAATTGTTGCAAGTAAATATTTTTTAAAGAAAAATATAATTTTATTTATTTAAATAAATAAATAAATAAAACCTGATAGTGGGATGTGCAATAATATATATTACACCAGGGTGTGGAATCAAGTGATCGATTTAACAACTATTACATAATACTAATACTAATTAAAGGATTCTATTACATATTATTAAACTTTAATATTTATATCTTCAATTTATCGTAATAAATTTAATAGAATCAATTGATCAATGCTGTTTTTCAGTACTGTGAATACCAGTTATTAATATTATGAATGAATTATTCGGCGTTTTTTTTTTTATAATCTCACTTTTGTTTCAACAATTTAGCTTGTAACAAGGGTAGATAATCGGAAAATCACTAAAAATACATTTTGCATGTCCCTTGATTTAACGGTCCAGCTTGTACTTAACAACACTAATATGAAAGAGTAAGTTTTTTTATATAAAGTTTTTATTGGTCGAAATTATTATAGTAAAGTATACAGATCAAACTAAATGATTAGAATATTATATTTAAGCAAATAAAAATTTTCCTATTACAGATTTCATCACGAAAAAAAATATTAGGAATATTCCGAAATTCATGCCAGGTCAGAAATAATTTATAAGCCGTAATTCAATAGAGCCCATTAAAGAAATATAATTTACGTATTTTCATAATCATGCGTATCTTTTTATGCGTTTTTTTATATGCACAGATTTGACGGATTATAATAGATGGATTATTATTTATTGTTATAAGTTTTAATATACATACAGATACATAATTAAAGATTTCTAGTTATATGATAAGTACGTTTTATTGCTTAGTCCGAGCATATTGGTTAATTTGCAGAGGATAATTTATCTTTATCAAATTAAAAATACCCCGGTCCAAAGACCACGAACAATTTAATGCACATAAAATAATAATCATGATATGCAACATTCGTAATCTAAATTACTTATTAGGAAATACAAATAAAAAATATATAAATGCAAATATAAATATATAAATGTATAAATATAAATATAAATAAAGGATTATAAATTGAGCAATGGAAAAACAAACAAAGAAGCGCAGACTTTACGACGTAACTTTGGTGAAGACACTATAATTTGAACGTTATTTTATCGTTTTTTTAATAATTTGATTACGAATACAAAAAAGAAAAAACAAAAAAAAAAAATAAAAATAAAATAAAAAATAAAATTAAATAAAATAAAGATAAAATAAAAAGTGAGTGCATGTTGATGTTATCATGGCGTTGCTGTGGAAAAATGAAGTGGTCAGACTTATAGTTAAAAATAGAAACTGAACTTTTTTATCAAAATAAACTAATTATAATCTGAAGACTAGGTATAATGGAATATATTGTGTTACTCAATATATACTTATTATTTATTATTTTTATAGATATTAATAAAGTTAAAAATTTTTTTTTTTATTTGTATAGATTTATAGGTCTGTAACTAAGATGCTTGCATGATCAAAAAAAAAAAAAAAAAACTACTTATTATTTATTACATTTGATTAAATAAAATTTTAAAATTTTAAATATTTTTATATAAACATAAAAAATAAAGTTAAATATAATAAAAAGTTGAAAATATATATGTAATATACTTTTTTAAATAATAAAAAATTAATAAATACCTTTTTTTTATAAAAATAAATAATTTAACCAACTTAACGAGCTTTTGTTTTACCTCATTAGGTAGTCAAACTTTCGAATAACCGAGAATATTGGTTTTTTTTTTTTTTTTTTGAAAATTCAGATTAGAATGATCTACTACGGAATTGTAATAATTGTAATGCACAAAAGGAATAGAATTGTAATGATTGTAATGCAAAGAGTAAGAATTGTACTACTTACAACCGATCATGAAGAATAGGTAGAATTTGTACTTTACTTTTATCTTTTAAGTGTTATTTAAGTATAAATATGTGAATTCTTTTTGAATAAGTGACAAAAGGCTTTCTCAGATGTCCTGTCCAAGAGAGATACACGAAAAAAATTTATTGATTATAAAAATTTTTATATAAATATCTATCTTCTGTGAACAAAAAAAAAATTCTTGCTTAAATATGTCATTTCCTATTAACTACCAAAATACTGTAAATATACTGTAAATATAGTAAAAATTCCATTTCCTCCATCAATTAGTGCAGATGAAATCGTTCAAATACATTTAAAAAATGGAATTAAGAGCGTTAATCAAACCATGAATGCATTCATTATTTATCGAAAAGAATTTAATAATATTATTACAAATTATAATCTTGAACTTAAAGATATATCTAAATATTCTAGTATTTCTTGGAAACAAGAACCACAATATGTAAAAAAATATTATAAACAGTTAGCTAAAAAGGTTAAAGAACTCTTTAAAGAAAGGACTCATTCTCTTTGTTTTGTTAATAGCAATCTAGTATCTAGTACAAATGATAATAATGTCTCTTTAGACTCCTTTGAATCTCCATTTCTTAATACAAATCGAAACTTTCTTTCGCCTCTTGATGATCAAAAGTCTCCCTCCCCATATTCAACTTACTCTAATTATCCATTTCTTGATATGAACCTTTTTGTATCTGATAATTTTGAAAATTCTCTTCATGCATATATAACTATGGATGATAATGAACTTATGAATTATATTTCTGAAGATTTAGCTTTAACTTATAGAGCAATCGTTCAATCATTATCGAGTGATTTACATTGAAGAGTAGATTACAAATATTTTTATGCTTTTATCACCCGAAATATTTTCACTCCCCACGTGTAATATTATCATACACCCATTATCGAGTTTTATTTATTTACTTGCAATAATTTGCAAATATTTTAGTTACAGTAAATTGTAAATACATATATTGAAATATTTTTTTTTTCTTATTTACAAAAATTTTGGTATTTCTGAAGATTTATTGCATATTTTCAGTATTTTAAACTGGTTAAAGTGATTAAGTAAAATTGGTCAATATCAATTTTTTCAAAGTAAAAAAATAGGGTTTTTTCTCATTTAAATATTTTTGATACTTCTAGAACTTTGAACCATTTTTTTTAGTAAAAGTAACTAACTTCAAGTGATTAAGTAAAGTTATTCAACAATTTTGAATTTATTTAATTGTTAATTATCGCGAAGCTAGTTTACAAACACATTTAAAAACACGCATTTTTCATATAGACTCACAAAGTTTTAGTAATTATAATAGATTAATTTTTAATTTTAAAATTTTGTGTAATATCGAAATGTATTATCATATTATATTTAAAAATAAAAATTGGTTTTTCGAAGTTTTTATCATTTTACATTTTCTTCTTTTTTAATTCACAAACGAAAACTTCATATCACATCAGTGGTGTTGAACACCTTACTCTATACCGCTGGGGTTAGGGTTAAGGTTGTATAAAAGTATATTCGTCACCAATATTTGACACACGTGAAATTTCGATAACCTGAAAATGGGGTATACAGATAAACTGTACGGTACGAAACGCTATTTTGTACTGTACGAATAGTGAAGGTATGACGATAAACTGTACGGTACGAAACGCTATTTTGTACTGTACGATTTTATATAAATTTTTGCATAAAATTCGTACAATAATATATATATTATAAAAATCTAATTGTACTGTGTGAACTTTTTTATAGTAAAAGCCGAACTTGTTGAAAAATATCACGTGATATTAGTTAATCAAACGTACAAGCCACAAATAAATCATGCCTCCCTATGTATACAGATAAACTGTACGCTATTTTGTACTGTACGAATAGGATTTATTTGGATGGACCGTACAGTTTATCGTCATACCTCTCAAAAACGATACCTTTGCCCTGAAAATTATTATTTAATCATGTGTTTAGTTTGCGTAGGTGATAGAGTAAAAATTTTTTCCCTAATAAAAGGTTCGTTCTAATAGAAATACCAAAGCTTTATGGTTTACATATACAGTACCCTATTTAATTCTATTTTATATGTAACTTTTTCAAAAAAAAAGTAATGCTGTGATGACTAAATTTATATCTGCGTTGCGTAGTTATTTTGTTAAAGTTATCTTTAATTATTGTCCTTTTTTTTTATATACAGTAAAATAATGAATACATATCGAGAAAATAAGACAAATACAAAAATATCAGAAAAATAATATTATTAATTGGAAGTCCGTGAATATCACTAAATCCCACATTTTTTTTTTTATTTTACTAGTTTCTATGCTAGTGTTGTTAAAGGTTCAGCTTGTTCCGACTTGGTGTCAAAGTCAAGCTGGACCATATCTGATGGGATTACTACCATTAACTCCACCAACTTTCTATCAACCCTATCGATTCTATCAATTTGATCAGCTCAGAGGCCAACTGAACCAAACCAATGACTTGAAACCCTTAAGTTGAATCGGTTTAACCCATCGTTCCTCTGTCCAGCTCGCTTAGCTTGTACTTAACAACATTAACATTATTCATTGTTCTTGGGTTATTTTCTTATGTGCAGAATAATACATTATTAATACGTCATGAATACATATTATATGTACAAGCCCTCAGAATATAGATATGAACATAGTTATAAACGAAAATTAATATCGTTGAATGTGGATAGATAAAATAAGTTTTTAATGAGTCTAAATTATTATTGTAAAATATAAAGATAAAAAAATCGGACTAATGACAATTCAACTTACAACAAAAATTATGATATTCCTTAAATTTTTTTCTACTACGGATTTTCATTAAAAATACATGCCGAAAAGCAACATAATAATTTATTAGTATATGTATGATTGATGGATTACCTAAAATTTTTTTATTTATTTGTTATTATTTGTTATTGTTATATATTTTTTGTTATACGTTGTTCGAATAATTTAAGTCAAATATTTAGAAGTTTTTTTTTTTCTTGGTGGGAAATGTAAATGAAACTGATAATGTCAGCGAAGGATATGGTAACGGAATTGGAAAAAAAATTCTGAAACACGGGGAAATACAACAAAGTGACATACTGGCAATCAAAACAATGGAAGGTTGGCTGAAAACTTTCGAAGAGAAGAAGAGTTTAAAAATAGTAAAAATAAAATTAATAACGAGATTCACCAATCGGATAAATTGAATTTGATTTAGCAAATTTTTATCATAAGTACAAACTTCTATATGAAGCAATTGCGAAATTATCATATAATCATCGCCCCTCCCCGAATTTTTACTAATCGAGTCTATCTCGATTACTTCCTTAAGACCTTACATAGCTTGAGAAGGTTTGAAGATTCTTCTCTACAAAATGAATTGCTTTAACTAACATTACCACATGAATCTATGTTTGCTGATGGTCAAACTTATGTTATTTTGGGAATATAGAACAGTACCAATGAATAATAATAATGAGTACAGTTTTTTTATGAGATGTGATTGTTGTATTTTTGGAATTTCTTTTAGAAGATTTATAAACATATTGAATAGATCATATATGAATTTGTGAACTGTTATGAAGTAAATTGCATTAATGATAAAATGTTTTACCATCACAGTGTAATAAAGGTTGTATAATATCTTGAAAAATAAAATCTTAAAATATTTATTACGATCTGTAAATAGAAGATGGCATGTAACAATTGTTTATGTATAATATAAATAATAATAATATTAATTTATTTAAATAAGTCCTAACCCATTCCTAATTTCGATAATAAATTAAATTTGGAAAGAAAAAAGATTTGTACAATTAAAACATTTCTGCATGCACGAGTAGAATTAACATAATCTTTGTCTGCGTGAAAACATTCTGATGTTTCTAAAAAAGAATTATAACTTCTCGTGTATATGCATTAAAAATGGGTTACAATTTTTTTTTAAACAATGTTTACATAAATATGTAAAATTCATAATTACTTTATTTATATTGCGTAGCACTATAGTATCTTATTAATAATTTATTATAAATGAAAATGTCTGAATCAAAAGGAACACAAGAATTCATTATGAATATAAAAAGAGTACATTTTTTCTCTCTCTCCAACCCATCTTCCACAGCGAAAAGTATCTTTACTACAAAAAAAAATAATAATTCGCTTTTCAACTTTTTTTTATCAGATATAAAGAATATTAAGCATATTTTTTCTCTTATAACTACCACAACAGTAATAAAAATGAACACAAAATTTGTTCTCACTTTAAGCATCGTTATTCTCTCTATAATCTTATCGACAGTTGCTAAAAAAAATGATCGTTACATCAGTTCACACAAAAGAAGTTCTCTCTGCACATGTCCTCGTACTATGGCTACAGCAACATTTTCCCCAGGGAAATTCCAAGTAGCTGGTGATATGGTCTTTAGACAAGGCCCCGATGGTTTAGTGGGTTTGACTTGTTTCTTCATTACCGGCATTAACCCTGAGTATTATTACGAGTACGTTATTGTCAATAAATGCGGCGCTCGTCTCTACGATTTGACACCAAATTTATATTTTGAATATCGAACTGGCGGCGGAATATTACCATACTCAACAAAACTTTATAAATTCAACCTCGATTGTAAACCCGATCCCGATTCCGATTGTAGTATACCCGATGGTGTACTTCGCGCAGAATGTGACGAAGGAAAAGGAGCGGATCTCCAAATTTACCAAGATGGTATCCCTTATGCTCTTGCTCCAATTTCTTAAATTAATAGTGTCTCGGTTAAATTTTTTTTTACAAAATCAAATTTTTGATTGTTACAATTTCACATCACATGATTAATAATCATGCATTTTTTCATAAATCATTGAGAAAATAATTTAATAAATGTTCATTTATATTCGATTACAATTTTTAATGAAAAAAATAAATAAATGATATAATATAATTGCTTCTGTTTTAGTGGCAGGTCGCGGGTTTACACTTTTAAAAGGTTTACCTCGAGTCAGTTTAAATATGTATAATATACAATAAACCGTTAATATTTTATATTTGGCTTCAATTTTTCTTGGAAATATTTTAATGATTTATTTGATAACTGAAACTCTAAAGAAAATGTCTGATTTTTTGTAATAATGAATTTAATGCTATAATATATATATTGTAAATGTAATTATAAAACAAATAAAACAATAATTTTTAACTTTCATTAAATACTTGCAGATAACGTTAGCACAAGAAGGGTTGTTCACTAAATCGATTCAGAATAATTATAGTAAAAATATCTGTGGCTGTGTTCTTTAAACAAAATATGTATATAGATACAGTATTCTGCCTATCATATCCTACTTTTTTAAATACCTGCTTTGGATATCTAAAAATGACGCGTTTCAAGAATTTCTCAGTAAAAAATTAATCCTCATACCGAATACGGGTTCTACTCCAGCAGTTCGATTAACAGCCGCGCAGTAATTGGGAGAGATTCAAAAAGGTTGCACTTCTGAACTTTATTTATTGTTTTCTTCGTAATTCAACAAATATACTTTTTGTTGAATTGTAAAAAAAACTTTAATATATAATCAAAGAGTAAGGGCCTTGTGTATATCTTTATCAGGTTGTGATTCGTTTAAGCAATAAAGAATGAGATAGTGGTATTGCTGCGGGCTAAGCGATCCATTGCAAAATCTGGGAACAGCCTTTTTTCACAAAACTTAACTATAATATTATGAATAGTAGTATTTCTATACTCGGTTTTTTTCGAAATGGTCCTTTCTGAGTCATCAGCAAGATAAAAACCGATCGAGCTCTTTTTTTTTTTAAACAAAGAATAATTAATTCGCGATAATCAGGTATCACCAATATATACAGTATATATTATTTTATTTATGTAAGTCACACGATGATATAATTATGTTACGTTTTTTAAAAAAATAATGTAATTATAAAAAATCCAAACTTTCCCGCCTGAATTTTCTGAAATATGCTTTCCCGGGTATATGGTCGTTAATTACCCTAAAAAAGAAAATCCACGCCACGTTAATAGTTCTCCATTATTTTTTTAAGAAATTTTACAACAGCCCGACTTACAATGATAAAAAATTAATACCATTTCCATTTGGAGATAACAACTTTATATAAAAAAAATTATATTTATTGATTATATTGAATCACCAATTAAATAAGGATTTTTTTTTAATTTTATTTTTTTAGATTTTGCTTGATTTTCTTCTTTCATCAGTTTTAGTAAAAAAAAATTGATTGATTTATGTAATCAATATATTTTAAAAATTCTCAGGTACGTTTAAGTATAAATTTGAATAATAAATTTAATAAATCCCATTGATTAATGGTATTTTTCGGTACTAGGAATACCAGTTATTATGGATGAATTATTTCTTTCAAAAATGTTTGTAAGAAATTACGCTCTTTGTTGCAGCAAATGAACTTTGTGGCAAGGGTGAATAATCGGAAAATTGACATAATATAAAGCGGATTAGAAGAGGTAATATCTTATTAATTTGTCCTTTTATTTTTTAAAAAATTCATTTATCTGGGCATATTTTTATCTATGATTTTTTCGCTTTTTCTAATGCCTGAATAAAATTTGAATTTCTTTGCGCTGATTTTATACTTTTTACACTGTAAATTTGCGTAAGATGACAACTGTAATTCTCAACTGAGGTAAAAAAAAATAACAATGAATATAAATATTAATTGAAAGTTTGTGAATATTGAATTCTCCCATTTTTTTATTTTACTAGTTTCTATGTAGTCAAATGATGATATCATGGGAAGTGAAAAAGTCAAGCTGGACTTTATCTGATGGGATCATTACTATCAGTTCCATCAACTTTCCATCAACCCTACCACAATCCCATTGGTCTGGTTCGTTCCTGCTCAGCTTAATAAATAATTATGTGTCATTGAATTGAAGATTCACTGTTTAATTTATCTATTTTTTTTTATTTATCTTATTTATTTATTTTTTTTGGATATATTTTTTGATTATTTATTTATTTTAATTATACTCCTTTCATATTAATTATAAAGTGATTACTAATATAACGAGACAAATATAAAATATGTGCATATAGACTTTAAAGTATATATTCTGAAACAACACTATTCACCATTCAGAATATAGTTATGAAAGGAAATTGATATTGATAAACGTAAATGAAATGAATAGATAAAATATGAAATAAGAGGTTTTTTTTTATGTAAAGTTTTCATTTGTCTAAATTATTTAAAGTTTAAAATCGGAGACTAATACATTTGAGCAAATTAATTTTTTTCTACTACAAATTTTCATTAAAGTTTACCATAAAAAACAACATTTAAAAATGCATAATAATTTATTAGCCATAATTCAATAGACCCATTAAAGACAGAGTCACAAAATACAATTTACGCCATGTAAAAATAGAAGTTTTAATATATACTGTATATGGAACCATATTAGGTATTTGCAGAGGGTCATTTGATCTTGTCAAATTAAAAATACCCAAGATTATATAAACATTTTTTTTTATATTAAATAACAATGCATACGTACATAAATTAGGTCCCTGTTTGCATCAATCGTTAAAATACAAAATAATGATAATTTTTTCATTTATGATTTTTTTTTCTCGCCATTGAAATCACTATATTCATCATATTATATTAGGGAAAAATATAAATGAAATAATAAATATAGAAAAAATAAGGACCACAATTAAAATGAAGTAAGAATCAAATGTGGGAATGAAAACGTGTATGAACGTGCAACGGAAAATTAAGAGAAAAATAACAATCGAAGAACAAAGAAGTGATTTGTATTTAGATATTATTTTATCGTTTTTTTGCACTAGTTCTTTGTTTAGCATTAAAATTTGATAATTTGAAATTGATTACAAATTCGATACAAAAAAATAAAATAAAATAAAAAAAAAGAGGGGAATGCATGTTCGTCATGGATTTGTTTGGCGTCAGATTTATAAAATAGTATCGCGCGAATTTGTGTAAAATTATCTCGGTACCAAAATTTATTAAAATTCAAAATGGAAGAAATAGAAATTGGCTTGTTATAAGATCGGCAGAATAAAAATTAATGTTGTACTATATATATTTTATATTAATTAACTGTACTAATTTTTGTACTTCCCAATACGCACAAGAGTTTCTAGATAGAAAAAACTGTTTTACGAAATTGAAATTTTTTATCCAAAATCTGAATCACCATTAACCATTACTTTTTTAGATTCTGCTTGATTTTCTATTATCGGTTTTTGTTAATAAAGCAATGTACAATATTAATCGAAAATAGTTGATTGTTTAAGTAATAATATATTTTATTATTATTATTTTTTTTTTTTTGTAAAAATTTTTGAGTATATTGCTAAGTTTAAGTATTTTAAGTATAAATATGTCGAGTTTTGAATCTTATAATTTTGCTTATTCTTCTCTTTGGATAATTGACATTGAATTTCAAGAGTTTCTTTAATATACGAAAAAAATTTATTGGATAATATAAATATCCCTCCTCCGTGAAAAAAAAAAAAAATTCTTATTTTAATATGTCATCTATTAACAATATTAATTACCAAAATACTTTAAACGTACAAATTCCATTTCCTATTAACAACCAAAATACTTTAAAAACAATAAAAATTCCATTTCCACCATCTATCAAAGAAGATGAGATCATACAATTACATTTAAAAAATGGAATCAGAAGCGCTAATCGAACTATGAACGCGTTTATGATATATCGAAAAGAATTTAATAATATAGTAACAAATTATAATCTTGAACTTAAAGATATATCGTTATATGCTAGCATTTCTTGGAAAAACGAACCACAGCATGTGAAAAAATTTTACGTACAATTAGCTGAAAAAGTTAAAGAACTTTTCAAAGAAAAGGTTCCTTCTCTTTGTTTCATTCATAGTACAAATGATAATAATGTCTCTTTGGACACCTTTAATTCTCATCTTGATAATCAAAATTTCCCCTCCCTATATGATGCCTACTCTAATTATCAAATTTTTAATATAAACAATATTGTTTATGATGATTTTGAAAATTTTTTTCGTGTATATATGAATATGGATGATGATAAATTTATGAATTATCTTTCCGAAGACCTGGCTTTAACTTATAGAGCAATTGTTCAATCATTACCATAATTTTTTGCATTAAAGAGCAAAGGAAATGAATTAATTGCTAACATTACAGTTACATTTAAGAAGTAATGGTTTGCTTACTGCCCGATAAAAATTTCAGAAAAAATTATCACCGAACATTAGGATCTGTGATATAAATAATCAGTTATCGTTGTAATATTATATACTATTAGATTAATACAATATTAGACTTTAAATTTTATATTTCTAACATTTTTTAATAAATTTAATAGATCAAAAAACTTCCATTAATTAATGCTGATTTTTCAGTGTCAGAAATACCAATTATTCACTAATGTTCTGTAAGACAATTTGTAATATCACGCTTAGTTTAATCACTTCAAGTACATACAACCTTTAGGAATAATATAGTTTTACGTGACACTATAATTAAATTAATTTGTTCATCTATTTGTTTTTCTCTCTAAAACTTTCCAAAACCTAGAATTATTTCTAAACATTTGATCATCAGACGATTCGATTTTTTTTCGCTTTTTTTTTTTTTTAATGCTTGAATAAAATTTGAACTTCTTTACGTTGATTTTTTATTTTTACACTGTATTTTTTGTGTGAAGTGAGAGATAAAAAAAATTTTCCAAAGGTTCGTTCAAATAGAAATACTAAAGTTTTATTGTTTACCCTAATTCGAGACCGCTTGTTAATAATATTTAATATATTTAATATTTTCATTACATTTTACATATACATGAACTTTTTCAATAAATCGAAATGTCGTGATACCGCATTACATTGTTACTGTATATCTGTCAAAAGTTAATTCAACATAATGAATATAATAATAAGTAAAATAATGAATACATATATAAATATTAATTGGAAGTTTTCTCTATAAATTTATTTAATTTTACTGCAGGGTTTTATACAACAATCAGCCCTACATTTTTTATATTTACTAGTTTTACTCATTGTTGTTGTTGAAGTTATGTACATAAACACTCAGAATGTATAGTTATGAAAGAATAACAGGTTTTTTATATAAAGTTTTATTGGTCTAAATTATTCATTGTAGTAGTTTCAAAATCAGAGACTAATGACAATTCGACTTAGAATACTGAGCACAACAAGGATTTCTTATTTTAAACAAATTAAATACTTTTCTTACTAAGATTTTCATTAAAGTTTACCACGAAAAACAGTTTTGAACTCTCTACCTCTTTAAGTGTACACTCTATAAATGCATTATGCAGGTCCTTGCATTTATAGAGATTTTAATGTAATGAAAAACACGAAATAATTTTAAAATGTATTGCAGATCACAACATATATAAGTTTTAATATAAGTTTTAATATAACTACTCTAAATGTACGCACACATCCTCTTAATGCACACTCTAAATTAGCCCAAGCATATAGTAACTATAAATGCATTCCCCCTATTTAATGAAGGGGGTGTATATAAATAATTAAGCAAATTTTGTCAGCATAATCGGCTTAAATTACTATAATTAATATTAAAGTTAAAGTAAATAAGTAAATAAAAAAAAAAAAAATTAATTGCTGAGCCGAAATACCTCAGAATCCAATTATTAGGAAAATGAATGACATCATTAAAATTATCATTATTATAATAATTATTTGTTGGAAATTAAAATTATTTCGAACAACTTTTGCTATTTCTAATAGAAGAAATTCCTCTAAAATTAATTATTATATGATGATTTACATATAATGGTGATTAAATAATAATGATAAAGAATTATATCAAACATAGCAAAATAAAAGAAGATAATAATTATATATGAACAGTAGATATAGTGCACTGGTGTATGCTATAAGGTTAGAGAGAGAAAAATGAAGCGGAAAATAAATTTAAATAATAATAAAGAAAAATCATATACAATAATAAAAAAGGGTTCTTCCAACCGTCTTTATCAAAAAAAAAAAAAAAACCCTCACCAAAATAAATATACAATATATATAAACAAAAAGAAAAATTTCACATCCCATAATAAAACCTAAGAAGGGAAACTCCCTTTTTTAATTTTTTATTTTTTTTTTAGTAAAATAATCCTGTCTTCTTTATCTTTTTTTTTCTTTTTCATTTTCTTCTTTCTTAATATAAATTGTTAAGCACCATCACCCATCCCATGTGTTAATGTTCACCACCACCCATGTAATTTGGATACTCGAACCCCGTGAGAATATCAGCAAATCTAACAATAGAATTATTTAGAAGGGCTAATATTGTTTCCATTACTTTGGGGTAAATATTGTAACTGATGAGACGGAACCAGTAAGTGTGATATGAGGATCATTTTTGCTATCATGCCGTTGTGCACATTGAGAACTAACGACCGTCTGATAATGTGTATATCGTTTGCCATGATGGAAAGAAGTTAATAGATGCGAATTGAAAATTGTGAGTATTACTTTGATGATGATATTGCTGTTGTTGAAATCTTCATAACGTAAAATTGATTTTTCGTATTTGTTGTTGACGAACTCGTTTTCACGCAACTGCATTTGATCAGGTGAATTAACGAATTCCTTAGGGTTATCTGTAAAATGAGATGTCAACAAAAGAATTTTCGGATTCGGAATATCAATTATTGCATACTTATGAAGACATATGATAGATGAAGATGATTGCATACTGAACCCGTTATTCTTATTCATTGTTAATTGTGAGACCGCTGAATCAGTACTTTTTTCCAGATATTGTTTTATTTGTTGTATTACTTGAGGACCTCCTTACTGGATAAGAAAAAGTATCATTAGTGTAGGAAGAGGAATGGAATAATCTTTTTTCAAACTTTAGTTTTGTTTTTGTTGGGACGATACGCATCATTTGGATTTGGTTGCTTTCTCTCGATCGATGTATCTTTCTCATTCCAAACGAACTTCTTCAGTTCCATTTTTCCACATATCGGAAATTTGTCTTATAACTTTAGCATTTGTAAGATGACTATGATCTGCATTGATCGCAGTCTACAATATAAAATAAGTGCGCTTGGCCTTGATGTTCTCTTTTGTATTTTTCCAGATTTTCCATCGAAATTAACATTTGTTGAACTAGTTGTAATTTGGTCATTACCAGTTACGGCACCAGGGATAAGACAATGCATGATGATTTATTAAAATCAGGAGAACGTGGGATGCAATCTTGTGATATGACGAGAATCATAATTTTGATTATTTAACGTGGAAAAGTGATTGATGGCATATCATTAACTTTAATACTGTTGGTACATCAAAGGTCCAGTATTTACATTTATTATTCGGATCACTTATAAAAACAAAATTTTTACTTGTAGTTTTTCTTGTTCTTCTCTTTAATTGGCTTTCTTCGGATTCAAAGAGAGCATAGTTGATGTACAAAAAAAAATTTATTGATTATTATCCTTTACTAAAAATTTCTACATAAATATTTTTATATAAATATTCTTAAATATATCATTTCCTATTAATTAACAAAATACATCAAACGTACAAGTTCCATTTCCGCCATTGTCACAGAATAGAGGAATTACTGTACATTTAAAAATGGAATCATCGAATAGAATTTAATCATATAGTTACCTTGAACTTAAAGATATGCATTTCTTGGAAACAAGAACCACAATGTGTAAAAAAAAATATTATAAACAGTTAGCTAAAAAGGTCAAAGAACTTTTCAAAGAAAGGTTCCTTCTATTTGTTTCATTCGCAGTAAACAAGTATCTAGCACAATATCTCTTTAGTCACCTTTAATTTCTATTTCCTAATATGAATCAACACTCAAAACCTACTCTAATTATCCAAATATGAACCATCTCTGATAATTTTCTTCGAATGATGATGTGCTAATCGTTCATTTTAACGTTTCGAAATGTCACCATATTAGAACATATCTTTCGCATATCATATATATAAAATATTTTTATATTGAAACAAAGAAAAATACATTAATAAATACATTAAATTTTTTATTATGATTATAATCCAATGCTTTTTTAGAATCAATAAAAGTTCTGTTATAGGAAATTAATTGACAGATTCTCTCGGATGAAAACGTTTACAAAATTAGCTATTCCTACACGAGCGAGAAACTCGGGTATTTGTAGATGATTAAATATATTTTATTTATATTAAATGGTTATTAAATTATTAGATGTCATGTTATCAAAAAAGTAAATGAAATTTAATTATTATCCACCGATAATTTTTAATGATATTTTATTATTTTAACATATTAATATAACACCAATAAAGTTATTCATAAATTATCATCTATACGAAGGAAATGAATTAATTAATTACTAATAGGAAAAAGTAACATTTATGAAAGCTTAATAAGTTTATCGAGTTATGAAAGTTTATTCCCCGTGAAAAATATCAGCCGTTATCTCACGCAGAAAATGAGCTTTGTAGAGAAATAATCGGAAAATTGATTCGTTTAATCACTTCAAGTACACGCCTTCAGTATAATATGGTAATGGTCAATGAGTTTTTTTTATGCTGTACAACACAACATCCCCTTTTAGGATTTCTTTGAAAATTTTGTTTACATTTATTAATCGGATCACTTATAAACATAATTTTTGCTTGTAGTTTTGCTTGCTCTCCTCTTTGAATAAATAACTAGAGTATCTTTGATATACTAAAAAAAAATTATTGATTATAATTCTTTTCATAAATATTCTTAAATATGTCATTTCATATTAACTACCAAAATACTGTAAATATAATAAAAATCCCATTTCCACCATCTATCAGGGAGGATGAGATCGTACAATTACATTTAAAAAATGGAATTAAGAGCGTTAATCAAACTATGAACGCATTTATGATTTATCGAAAAGAATTTAATCGTATAGTTACAAATTATAATCTTCAAATTAAAAATATATCTAAATATGCTAGCATTTCATGGAAACGAGAACCACAATATGTAAAAAAATATTACAAACAGTTAGCTAAAAAGGTTAAAGAACTTTTTAAAGAAAAGGTTTCTTCTCTTTGTTTCATCCACAGTAAGCAAGTACCTAGTACAAATGACAACAATGTCTCTTTAGACACCTTTAATTCTCAATTTCCCAATACGAATCAAAACTTCCCTTCACCTCCTGACGATCAAAACTTCCCATATGCTACCTACTCTAATTATCCACTTCTTAATATGAACATTCTTGTATCTGATAATTTTGAAAATTCTATTCAAGCATATATGAATATGGATGACGAAAAACTCATGAATTATCTTTCCGAAGATTTGGCTTTAACTTATAGAGCAATCATTCAATCATTACCATTTTAACAGCTTGATTTTGCTAAGAATATTTTATAATAGGATAAATGTTAGCTCAAAATGTATCGCAGGCACGCAGTCAAATCGTTTCCACGCTTTTTATTCAAAATTTATAAGATCAATATATTTAGATAAAGTTTCTTCAGTTATAGGAAATTAATTGATGGATTCTCTCAGAGAAACTCGGGTATTAATGTTTGATCTTTTCTTTTTTTTGTCATAAGAAGATTCAGAATTCTATTTATTATTTCAATATAGTACATGGAATTTATAATTGATAATTTTTATCGATATTTTTCACGGTAAATTATTTTATTATGTTAATATAACACTAATAAAGTTTATTCATAAATTATCTATATATACGAAGGAAATCTAATATTGAAACTAACATTTGAGAAGCAATTGTTTACTTTATGAAAGTTTAATAAGTTTATCGAGTTATGAAAGTTTATTGCCCGTGAAAAATATCAGCAGTGATCTCACGCAGAAAATGAGCTTTGCAGGAAAATATCGGAAAATTGGTTCGTTTAATCACTTCAAGTACATTGTGGTATCAAAAGTCATGGGAAAACAAAAATTAATAAAAAAATCACTAAAATTAAAATGTCATTGAGTGATCTAAATTGCACAATTTTTTTTTATTATATTCCCCTAAATCAGGCTATCATTTGATATATTTTGTATTAAAATTGAATGCCTATGCATAGAGAAATTACGCTTCAGATAAAATTGACAAAAAATAAAAAATTTAATCTTTTAACGTTATCCATACCAGACTCGATGGATTTTAAAGGTAGATACCAACTATATTACAAGAAATTGTATCCAGAAATACTATCTACAACTTTAATTAGAACAACTTTTCCTAGTATCTAATTGAAATTTAGACTTTACTTAGGCGTAAATAAAAACGACCGAAATTTATTAAAAATTTTAAAAATAAAAAAAAAATCCGAAAATAGGTGTCAATCGTTCTACATATAAAAGTTTTTTATTTATTAAATTACTGACAAAGTGATACTAAGTAACATTAAAGCTGAGAATATATGGAATTTTATGTAAAGTATTCAGACATATTTACATAATTAAAATTGAGTGAATAATTAACGATTGAATTCTAGAGAAGTGTTCACTCGTTGATATTAAATTTAATTCGAAGCAAAAATTCTAAAAACTTTACAAAAGATGCTCACAATTCTTGTCTTTAAGATTAATTCGTAACATATGTTATTTATTAATAAATAATAAACATTAATACGTAGTAACTTTTGGTAATTATTTTTTGAATTCAACGGTAAAATGATCGACAATAATGCCTTAGAAATTTACGCGGTGGCCAAATTTATTGTCGATCATTTTATCTTTGATATTAAAAAATCAGAAAATAAATAGCAAAAGTTGCTACGTATTAAAGTTCATTATTTATTAGTAAAACAACAAACATTTTACTAATTAATCTTATAGTAAATAATATGGAGCATCATTTGTAAAGTTTTGAGAATTTTTACTTATGAATTAAATTTAATATCAACGGCTGTACGACGGGCGTTCGAAATTATTTCCCGGAATTTAATCGCCAATTATTCACTTAATTTTAACTAAATATGTTTGAATGCTTTATATAAAATTCTATATTGTGGTGACGACGAAAGATTGGTAAGGTGGTACGAAGATAGCAGCGCAGAAAACATGTGGTATGGGAACACA